CAAAGGCCCATGAAGCCCAAAACTAGGCCCAATAAGCTTAAAACCCAAAAAGTCTTATACTAAGGCCCATAATACAAGACCAAACAATATAAACTCCTATACTACCAAATATATGAGAAAGGTGGTCATCCATGTAAAGCCTAACTAAAGAGAACCCTAGGCCCACCAAACCCATTGGGCTCACTAAGCTTAGAAGCAATCAAAAGCCCAAAGGCCCATGAAGCCCAAAACTAGGCCCAATAAGCTTAAAACCAAAAAAGTCTTATACTAAGGCCCACAATACAAGACCAAACAATATAAACTCTTATATAGGAGACTCTTTGCCTCAATCACATTAGGTGCGGGCAGTTTGGTTCTAAGTGTGAGTGAGATATGAAGCCCCTTCCTCAATGACATCAAGCATCCTATGAATGAAGCCCAAAACTAGACTTTTTGGTCGCTAATCCAAAATTTTCGGTCGCTAAATAGCGACCGAAATTTTTTTGGTCGCTATATAGCTTTGCGACTAGGGTTTTTGCGACTACTTAAATTCGGTCGCTAAAGCAAATAGCGACCGATTTTAGCAATTTAGCGACTGATTTTGGTGGTCGCTAAATGCAATTTTTTTTGTAGTGATATATAATAAAAGAAATTTTAGTAGCTAGAAAACAAAAACATTAGCCAAACTTTGGTTATTTTGGGAATAGTGTTTCTAGATCAAATCCTTATTGAGTAGTAATATAAAAGTTCATTTATATAAGGTGATTTATTTTAGAAAAAGTCGAATATAGGATGGGCATTGCTTCTACGACAATGATGTCGACCCCCAACCTACATCCTTGGCTTTGGCATATTTTCAATCATGAAAAGCGAACTTTGATCCTATCTACACTTTGGTGCAATTGGAAATGGCGAAATACCCAGGTAATCGCCAACACCTCCTGGAGTGTCACGTATGTTTGTCAACTAATCCGACGACAGAAGCTTGAGTGTCATCTTTATTGCTCAAGAACACCTCAGGAGCAAGATGGTCACTGGGCCCCTCTTGACCAGGGAGACGTGAAACTGAATGTGGATGGCTCTTGCTCTAGCCATAAGTCGATGGGTGGCGGAGGTGTTCTCCGGGGTGGCCGTGGAGATTGGCAATTTGGATTCTCCACATGCTATGGCCAAGGCAGTCCTCTTCTCGCAGAAATTCTGGCAATAACGGATGGACTGATGCATGCTTGGAGGTTGGGGTATAGAAATATAGCCTGTGAAACTGACTGTATGGAAGCAGTAGATGCAATCAATATATATGATATGAGGGAGCTGTCACTGCATGTGCATAAGGATAAGCTTTTGCAAATACATAATATTTTAAGGAAGAACTGGAGAGTGAAGATCGTGCATATCCCTCAAGAGTGGAACACAGTGGCGGATTGCCTGGCTCATGAGGGGGCCAATGGTTTGATTAAAGAGTTCATTACCCCTCCACCCCTAGCCCTTGAAGCTTTCCTTCAAGATCTAGCGAATATAGGCTAGTTAGTTTCATACTGTTCTTGTTTTCTTCTTCCTTTCTCTACCAAAAAAAAAAAGCAACATTTATATATAAGGTCAACTAAGAGAGAAAATAAAAGCTCATTAATTTATAAGACAACCTTGCTTAATATTCTATTTTGAACTAACTTTAACTTAAATACTAATCAAATAAGGACTAGTTTTTCAAAATATTAAGGAGAAAACATAAAATATCAAAACCAAATATACCAAGTTAATTATCCGATTTTTAATTTGAGTTCAAAAAACACCTAATAAAATTGAATGATATTATGTATATCAATAACTATACAGCAATTACCATATTTTATTTCCAGGGCAATATTCAGATTTTTTCTGTTTCAAACATATTTTCTATTTGAAATATAAGAATCAATGTGTTCAATACCTATTTATGATTGATAAGAGACTGACATGATGGAGGTCTAGAGAATACACTGGGCTAGAGCAGTTGCAAGGGAACTTGCTCTTTGTTCTTCATCAACCAAATTTTGTGTAGTATGGCAGTGAAAAATTCAACAGAATCAGGATGAACTCTATTATGTGTAGCAACAACGTGGTTAATTAGCAAATAACTCCAAAATTTGTTCCATGGTTGGTGGACTAAAACTCAAATTTGCACCCTACATCACCTTCAAGGTATCTAATTGTTCTTCTCTAGCTACTTGAGTGTACACCAGAATGGCTGTACCTTCTTTTGCTTCACGCCCAGTGTAACCAGCTACTATGGTGTACGTGTAAAGTAAATTTTACTTTACATGATTTGCACTCATTTTAAGGTATTTGTCGCCCATTTCTAGAAAATTTCACCATATCTAAAATATATATAATAAATTATTATTCGACTAAATTATACTTTTGATGTTTTATTTTATTTTAAAAAAAAATTATTTTTTATCTTTAAAAAACTTAAGTTTGATCTTTTATCATTTGAATATGTGTCAATTTGGTTCATTCAAAATAGTGATTATTTTTAATTTTGTGACACAATTTTAAATGTTTTTTTTTTATTTTAATTCAAGACATGTAAAACTTGTTTTATTAATTACTTTCATGTGAATTATTGAACATGTGACCAATAAATGTTTAAACAAAAAAATATTATAAACATAATAAAAATTATGTGAAAATGAATTCAACGAATAACTGAAAAACTAAAACAATCTAATATCATTTTTTATTTTTGGTGGAAATTATTTTTCATGCGATTCTTACTATATGTTTAGTCCTTGTTTGATTTAGATATCATTTGGATTCAATGGTTTTCATGCAAGTGAATGTAATGAGACAATTGTCATGTTGAATAAGTTAACAATGATTCAAAATTATGTCACAAAATTAAAAATAATCATTATTTTATAATGATTAAATTGACTTATCTTTAAAAAATACAAGATCAAATGTTAAAAGGTAAAAAATAAAAATGAATCTTAAAAATAAGATAAAAGACTAAAAATATAATTAATCTTTTTTTTTTCTTTCCAAAATAGTCATTGTAATATAATTTTGAGTCACAATAGCACTTATCAAAAGAAAAATAATGATAGAAACTAGATTGATTTTTTATTTGTTCATTATTAACAAGTATTTTTCGTTGAATACAGGAACAATTTTTTTGAAAGTTTGACAAATATCACATAGATGAGTATCCCCTTTTAGGTTAAGTTTCTATTTTTGCAAGAATTGAGATTCAATTTCTAATCACTTTATTAAGCAACATGAATCTCTCACTATTCGTATTAATCCAAATTTTTATCAAATCAAAAATCCAATATTAAAAGGACTAAATCTAACATTGTTTTTTATAAGAATTAAAAGTAAAACAAATTTGTAATTTATAGGGAGCAAAATATTAATTAAGCAAAAAAGTAAAAGCATGAACAATGTAAGGAACATATATACATATGATATAAAACATGTCATATATCTTTATTTTTTTATGGTAGAAAGGGAACATATAACTTACAACTCTAAAACAAGTAAAGTACCAAAACCACTTTTGTGTAGATCATATATATCCTTATTCTTCCCACAAAATCAAAATGAGGTCGAATAAGATCTCAAATTGACAAATTAAGCTACTTGGCTTGATTTGTTGCAATTAGTTGGTGGAGTATTTTGTATCAGTAATACTAGCTGTTGTTGTCTCACTTCTTTGAAGACTTACCAAAGAGTAGTAAACTCCACTTGGTCCTTTTACTAACAAAGACAAATGGGTCCCTTCTTCTACCACCCTTCCTTTATCTAACACAACAATCCGATCACAATTTTTTATAGTGCTCAGTCTATGAGCCACCACCACACTCGTCCTTCCTACCATAACTCTCTCTAGAGCTTCTTGAACCACTTTCTCTGATTGACTATCAAGTGCACTAGTAGCCTCATCCAAAAGCAACACTTTTGGATTCTTAAGCACAGCTCTAGCTATTGCAATCCTCTGTTTTTGGCCCCCAGATAATTGTACTCCTCTATCTCCACACCATGTCTCATAACCATCCTTCATACTTGCAATAAAGTCATGAGCATTAGCTACCCTTGCTGCTTCAATGATCTCAACTTCATTAGTCTTATCAAATGCTCCATATGCTATGTTTTCTCTTATGGTCCCATTAAAAAGGGCTGGCTCTTGGCTCACAAGTGCAATGTAATTCCTTAGTGACCTAAGGTGATATGACCTTATGTCTCTACCATCAATGGTCACTATCCCTTTAAGTGGATCATAAAATCTCTCTATTAAGCCCATTATAGTAGATTTGCCAGATCCACTTTGCCCTACCATTGCTGTTGATTTGCCTGCATCAATTTTAATTGAGAAAGCTTGGAAGATCATCATATTGGATCTTGATGGGTATGCAAAATAGACATCTTGGAGTTCTATGTGGCCTTTTAACTGTTTGGGTTGGTATGCATTGGTTTCATCAGGCTTGATTTTTGTGTTTCTATCTAAGATTGAAAAGACTAAGCCAACAGCATCTACTCCTTTTGCAAGGTCACTAGTGAGGCTACTAGCATCGGCAATGACCCTACTTGTGTTAACCAATATTAAACAAGTTTGAAACATTGCTTTAGAAGTAATGTAGCCATATGAAACAAGCTTTCCACCATACCAATATTCCAAAGCCCTAGTGTAAGTTGTGAGGCTTCGGGCACATGCAAGCCCTATGCCTGCAAACCAAGATTGTCGAATGCTTTCACGGCTTGGGCCTTCTTGGGCTTTTTCAAGCATTTTTATGACTCGATCTTGTGAGGAAAAGGCAGTGATGGTTCGAAGGTTGGAAATAGCTTCGACAGCTATTTTGCTACTTTCATCCAAGGCTTTGATGGTCTTTCTAGACATACGCTTGAGGAGTACACGTCTTGTGTAGAAGCAAGCAATATTAATAGGTTGAACTGCTATCAACATGATGGCTAATCTCCATGCAATGATCAGGCCCATTGTGCATGCCATTACCACAGCAGAGATAGTTTGCACCAATAGTGCCATTCTATCTCCCACTAAAGACCTCACCTGAATGTTGTAGAATATCATAAGCAAGGACAAAGTTACATAATGGGAGACAAAATTGAATCACAACACATCTGTCAAGTTATAATTTGCATTAATGGTCAACATGTTTTATAAGCAATCAACATATTACATGAATACTCAATATGTCACATAGGATGAATTAACAACATCAAATAGACAATTAATTACAAAGTGATAAAATGTGCAAAATCTTAAAATTTAGATGACAAAATGTACGATTTTAATAGTTGGTGGCAAAATTCATGAAATATAAAAGATGGATGATAAAAAGTGTAATTAAGCTTAACTTTAAATATGTAAAATTTCAATACAAATTAAATGTTTTAGTTGTAAAATTTCAATACTAATTACATGCTTTAGTTGTATTTTTGTAAGTCTCGCAATAATTATTTCTTCTTTATAATGAATAAAACATGAAAAAAGCAATATGCAACATTGCATGAAATGTTTAGACCAAAATAACAAGAACTTACTGTATTGGCTTCTTTAGTTAGTCTAGAGCAAACAACACCAGTGGAATTTTCATCCCGATCGAACCATCCAACTTCGAAATTGAGTATCTTGGAAAACATTCTCTCTTTAATCCTTTTGGTCAAGTACTCTCCCATATAAGCAAAACTATAATGTTGGATGATGTTAACAACCAATGAAAACACTGCCAATCCCACAAAAAGTAGAGAATAAATTATAGTTTTCCTTTTAATCTCATCATGATTTGTAAGGAAAAAAAATGATATCATGGAGCCCGTTGCAAATGCGTACAACGGCTCAATTGCACCAAATAACACTGCATTCGAACACCCCAAACATGCTTGTTTCCACTCTGGGAGATTCAAGGCCAACAATCTCCAAAATGAAGGAGATGTGAGCCTTTTATGATCATGATCTCTAACCTTTTCAGCATCATCTCCAATGCCAAGGGAAGATCGAGACACTGAATTTGCACAAATAGAATGACTTGCAACATGACTATTTGTCTTTTGAGTGTCCCCATTTGATGTAATAGGTTGAAAGAGAGTGTCATTTTTTGATTTCTCAACTTGTTGAAAATGAACAAGAGATGTGTAAAACCCATTGTCATTTTGTATGAGCTCATCATGAGAACCCATCTCAATGATCTTCCCATTTTGTAAAGCAACGATAACATATGCATCCCTTATGGTGGATAAGCGATGAGCTATGATAATAGTGGTTCGACCTGCTGAAACTTTATCAAGAGCTTCTTGAACTTTGCGCTCAGATTCAGAGTCTAGTGCACTTGTTGCTTCATCAAGAAGAAGGATTTGTGGATGTTTTATTATTGCTCGCGCAATAGCAATCCTTTGCTTTTGTCCACCTGATAGTTGAACTCCTTTCTCTCCAACCTACACAGGAAATAAATTTGTACCAAGTCATAATAAATGTTGAGTCTCTATCTAGTTCATTAGCATATATTAGAACCAAAAGATTTTATATTATTAGTAACTATTTTAAGGAAGGAATTTATATATAGATATTATATTTGGGTGAAGGATAATTTATATTTAGTTAGATATTGAGGTTGACATAACAAGCATGTAGTAGGAAAGGTTTGGCTGAAGGGTTTTTGTAGGGTTAGATATGAAATACTACATCATTCCATTGTGGCTGTTATGACAATTGGGCTAAGTGAATGGTGCAAATTAAAGTTGTTTCTAACTCTAGGCTTATATTGCATCATCATGAGGTGGAAGACACTCAATGAAGAAACTCCATGGATTTGTTAAAGAGAATGTTTATCCTTCGTTTGGTCCATACTCAACAAATAAAAATGACTGAAAATGCTTATAAAAAATATTTTGAATGAAAATGATTGAACAAACTTTTATATTCTTATATTTACTCACTTATGAATAATTTTTGAATATATAAATTTATTCTTTTTAAAAAAAAGGTGAAAACATAAAATATGTATACAAAGCTATAATTTTTTATTAGCAAATAAGCATGTGTAAGTATATAAATTTTTACACCATGAGCTACGAAATCAATGCACTAGCTATGCCTAATAAACTCTTAATACAATAGAACTATATATATAGGAAAAACAATGCACTAACCTGGGTGTTGTATCCTTGTGGCAATTGTAAAATGAAATCATGAGCATTTGCAGCTTTAGCAGCCTCAACAATTTCTTCATCAGTGGCACTCTCTCTTCCAAATAGTATATTTTCCTTAATGCTTGTTGCAAACAGAGTAGGCTCTTGGCTCACCAAACCCATCTGAGACCTCAACCAATTGAGTTGAAACTTCTGAATGGCCACACCATCAACACGTATCTCTCCTTCAATTGGGTCATAAAACCTTTGCAAAAGTGACACCGTAGTGGATTTTCCTGAGCCACTTCCTCCAACCAAAGCTATTGTTTTCCCTGCTGGAATCTTTAGACAAAAATCATTCAGAATAACATTGTCTGGCCTTGATGGATACACAAATTTGACATGGTCAAATTCTACTTCTCCTGAAACCTTCTCTAGAATCTCCCCACCCATATTTTCAGAATCAATCTTTGGCACTCTTTTTACCATTACCATTATGCGTTCCCCAGCAGCACATGCTTCTGTAAAGTACTTGAAATCAGATAAACAACAACCTAATGCCCTACACACAAAAAAAAAACAGAAAGAAGAGTGTGATTAATATATAAATTAACACAACTTAATCTAACAATTTATGAATTTTTTTTAGTTGAACTGAATGGTGTGCGATAAAAGGCAAGTTTAAATTACCTTCCACCAACACACATGACTGCTCCAACCGCAAATACTGTCCCTCCTTTAGCACCATGATACATGACCAATCTACTCCCATAATAGCACATGAAAGACCATATAGCAAACACAATACCATTGCATCCAATGGCTAAGCCTTTAGCTAAGCCTTGTCTCAACCCTAATTTCACAGACCCTTGAAGAGCATCAGAGAAAGCTTCTATGGTCTTACTTTCCCCCACAAAGGAATAAACGGTTCTTATGGAAGATATTGCTTGTTCTGCTATTGTACCAGCTTTGTTACACTCTTCTCTGATCTTTCTAGCCAAACCCATCATGGTCTTCCCATAAATTAAACCAGGGATCAGAAGAAGCACCACAAAGGGAAACCCCACAATGGCCAATCTCCACAACATAGTAAAAGCCACTATGTAGCTCCCAACAAACCTAGAGAAGTTCATCAAGAAATTTGGAACCTAGTTTCCAGTTGGAATAAACTGTTATCGTCTCAAATGTAATTAAAAACTGAGATAATATTAAAAAATTGTGATTTTTTTTCTTATACCTTTTCACTAATAACATCTTGAATTACGAGGCTGTCAGTAGAGACACAGGTAATGACCTCGGACGTGTTTGTGACATGCAAATCAAAGTATGCTACGTCTTGTCTCAACACTGCCCGTAAATACTTGACTCTCATTCTTGTAGCTTGTCTTTCACCTGTTCTTGTCCAGCAATAACCCTCTGTAATTCCCAAGGACAAGGTGAGAGAGCACCTCTAATTCCTAGACTACTAAAAAGTGTCTTTTTCTTGCAAATTTTTCTGCAAAAAAAATATTTGCAGAAATTTTTTACAAATTTTCTTGCAATAATAATTTTATAATTTTTTTTACGAATTTATTTGTAAAAAATAATTTAAAAATATTTCTTACAAATTTTTTTATGAAAAATAATCTACAAATTTTTTTTGCAAATTTTGCTACAATTTTAATGATCATAGAAATTTTGTTCTATGGTAAATTTTTTTTGAAAATATTGTAAAAATTTTATTTTATTTCTTGTAGATTTTCTTGCAAAAATAAATTTAATGTTTACTAAATGGTAGAAAAATTTTGCAGGTAACTTTTCTTGCGGATTTTCCTGCCAATTTTAATTCGCGGGAAAAATTAAAAAAAAAATATTTAAATTTATAAGTTTAATATTTTAAAAAAACTTCAAGTCCCACATTAATTGAAAATAAAACAATCAAAGAGTATATAAGTTGGGACAACACTCACTACTAGAATTTCTCTTATTACATGTGACTTTTCCATAAAAATTTGCAGGAAACGTTGATCCTACAAATTTTTCTGCAAAATTTTATCTGCAAGTAATACCTTTGTGGATAATATATTTTTACAAATTTTAAAATTCGCAGGAAATTTTCCTGCGAACAAAATTCGCAGAAAAGTTTCCTGCAAAAAAAAAATTCGCAGGAAACTTTCCTCCGAATTTTTTTGCAAGAAATTCTACAAAAATATATTTTACGAAAAAAAATTAAAGAAATTATTATAAATTCTATCAATAATTCTTTAACTTTCAAATGCTCATAATGAATTCATCCGAAACATTTGTTTCAATGCCTCCAACATGTGATACATAATCTTTTAAATTCTAAGATTGTAAATTATAAGCCTAACACTCAACCATACAAACCAACTTGTAAGGTAAGTGTTTCCCCAACTTATATACTCTTAAATTGTTTTATTTTCAATCGATGTGAGACTTGAAGTATTTTTATAATATTAAACTTATAAATTTAATTTTTTTTTATTTTTCCTGCAAATTAAAATTTGCAGGAAAATTCGCAGGAAAAGCTACCTGCAAAATTTTTATATCATTTAGTAAACATTACTTGCGAATTTATTTTTGTAAAAAAATCTGCAAGAAACAAAATAAAATTCTTACAATATTTTCTGCAAATTTTTACAATGAATTTTTTTTTTATAATTATTAAAATTGTAGCAAAATTTGTAAGAAATATTTGTAAATTATTTTTCGCAAATAAATTCGAAAAAAATTTATGTGAATATTATTTTGCAGAAAAATTTGCAGGAAAATGACATTTTTCTAGTAGTGACCTACCTTATAAGTTGATTAGTATGGTTGAGTGTTAGGTTTATAATTTACAATCTTAGAATTTAAAAGATTATGTATCACATGTTGGAGGCATGGAAACAAATGCTTCAAATGAATTCATTGTGTATAATTTCTTGCAAACAAATTCGCAGGAAACTTTCCTGCGAATCTTTTTATTGCAGAAAAATTTCCTGCGATTTTTTTTTGCAGGAAAATTTCTTGTGAATTTTAAAATTCGCAAAAATATATTATCCACGAAGGTATTACTTGCAAATAAAAATTTCGCAGAAAAATTTGTAGGAACAATGTTTTTTGCGATTTTTTATGAAAGATTCACAGGAAAAGTTGCATGTAATAAGAGAAATTCTAGTAATGCAAGACTTTTTCAATTAAATTACATTTTTTTAAAAATTAGTTAATTAATTTAGTTAAGAGTATTACATTTATCAATAATTTAAATCATTTTTTCAAAATTACTTTTTAACATCTCTTAAATTAACATTTTTCTCTTTTTATTTAATCATTTTTTACATAATAATTAATTAATATTTAGAAAAGGGAGATATGTATGTATCTATTTATCTTCTATATTTCTAATAAAAAAATTATTTAATTAATTTTAAACATTTATTATATTTTGTCTAAAAAAATTGTTAATTAAATTAAGATATTCTAGAGAAAATAGAAGAGGGTCTTATAATAAGAAACAAACAAAAAAGTAAAAATGATCTTATATATAAAAAAAGAGATAGTATAACTTTTTTTTTTATATGAATGAAAAAATAACATGAATTTAAATTAACTTAATTTAAAGAAATTAATTTGAATACATTGATAAATAGTTTTATTTTATTTTATTTTATTTCCATATACTTTCTCTCATATTTATTAACTTATGTAATACTACTGGACCCTTAAATAAGAAACAAATAAGTATGCTTGCTTTTCCATTTAATTATAAGAAATATAGACATTTTTTATGAGTAATAATACATGGATAAAAAAATTGTACAAAAATAATAAAAGGTTATAAAATTTTTACAAAAATAATGAGGTACGCATAGTCTTATTATTTTTTCAAATATTTTTATTAATTCTCATTGTTTATTTTAATCTCTCATCTTTAATATATTTATTGTTTTAAGTTTTATTGTTTATGTAGGACATAGCTAGTAAAGTTCAAAAATTTCTCTCTAGACCTCCAAAAAGTCTAAAATATTAATGTATCTCATCTAATATAAAGTCGACCTAGATAAATGGCTCAAGATATTTTTGTAAAAAAAATAATATATACGAAAACATTTTAGATCGAGCCCTATGTAAGGATTAAGTTAAACTTCTATTTTGGTTCTTATAAAAGAAGTATAAGTTACACTAAATGATATTACGTTATTCATTAAATATTTACTAGTGTCATTAACTATCACCTAAACCTTTTTAGTTATATGAGTGTTTTTGGAATAAAATTTATATTTATGATATTATTAATTAAAATTAACTAATTTAATTGTTTTTTATTAATTTTGATAAATTAGTTGTGAATAAATGTTGGTAACACAATTTTAAGATGCTATTTTCAACATACTCTTTATTAATAGTTGAAATCAATTAAAAATTACTATATTATGCATGTCTCACTTTATATTTTATGAGTCACATTCTTGATTTAGTAATTTTGAATAAATTTTAACGAAATATTATGCATGTCTCACTTTATATCTTATAGTCACATTCTTGATTTACTAATTTTTAATAAATTTTAATTAATGATAAAAAAAATTTTAAAGCATGTTACTAACATTTGTCTAAGTTATATGTTTTTTATACTCCTATAAACAATCCAAAGTAGTAATTACATAAAGTGTTAGAGAATAGAGAGTGCATGTTAGGATTAATTATCTTGCTTTTAAAAAAAAGTGTTAGAACCATACTTTATTTCATTTTTTTTAAAACATTTTTTTATTATTTATAATTTATTTAAAACTCCAAAATTATGGGAGTGGTATATTAAACGAGTAGTCAGAATTGTGCAATTCTGTGGTTTCAAAAACTTCTTTTTGCAAATAAGAAAATAAATTCTTTCATGGACAACCACGTGCTCACACCCTGACTGGTCTGTCTCATGTAGTAAAAAAATTTTGAATTTATGAGAAATAATTAGTATAACACTTAATCACATATTATATCATGTGGAGATTAAATAAAATTATAATAATCTTATACTATACAATAATTTCTCAATTAGGAGATATACTCTCTCAATATAAGAAAAAACAAAATTATACGTGTGTTGACTTTAAATATAAACAAATTTAATTAATGTCTTTAAAACATCTTTATTTAGTTGAAGTTTTATTTTCAATTTTCTTTTATATCAAGTTTCAATAATAAAGGCACTTCAAAGAAAAAAAATCATTTTTAAATGAAATAAAACTACAACTTAAATGATGTTACCCAACATTTTAATTAGTATAAATCAATTCTTTTCTTAAAAACGAAACCGAAAACAATAGTTTGTTACTAACATTTATCTTTGATTAAAATCACATATATCTAATAAAATAAATTCTAATTGATTTATAGTTCGAATATCTTTATGCTAACAAATATATTATTTTAAGAACATATGTTACTTGCAGTCCTTTCTATAAGAATTTATTTATTTATTGAATAATAACAATAAATATTCGTTAATTTCATTAATATTTTCATAAGTTTTATTATATTTTTAAAATATTTGTTGAATTAAATAGTTGAAGCAGTAATTAATGAACACCACTAATTTAAGGAAATATTATTTTATCAAATAGAGTGTGACTTATATCATTAATAAGTCAATGTATGGATCCACTTGTGCAAGAGACTTATTAATAAAGTTTATAATAAATTAAATGTACAAAAGTATATTTTATACATCTAAAAATAATCTATATTTTTATAATTAAGACAAAAAAAAACATATTTAATTATATAAAGCAGTAAACAATTATAATTTCTTAACCAAAAAAAATTAAACTATTATTTCCCTGTAATTAATCTTTTCTAAAAATGCAAAATCCGAGATTAGAATCAGAAGCAAAATTGAAACTCACCGAGGAAGGAAGCAAAAAAGGACATACAAGCCAAGTATGACAAGGCCAATGAAAACTGCATCACATTTACAAAGCTAAACCCAATAAGCCACTGTGCATGTTTGTTGAGCTAAATATAGATAAAATCATAGACAAAAAGAAAGAGATAATAAACTTACCTTATTAACGTTGTGGATAAAAGTAGTTGGTGACATTTTAGAAACATCACCAATATTGTTCATGATTCCGCCAGTGCAGTACAAGGAAACAGGAGTGGTGAATCCATCACCAATGGCTCCAAACAAACCCAAAACCATGAGAAACCAATCTACGCCATCTGCATGCATGAAAATGGATCCAATATTAGACCCATTTTTCTTCTTCTTCTTCGTATCAACACTAGTATGGTTCTGATGATCCACACTCATTTTGCACGATTCACATTCTTCACTATCTCACCCCCAAACAAGCATTTATATATATTGAAAGTGGAGTACCAACTAATGTGGGAATCTAATGGCCAGAGGGTCGTATCAGATTAATTTTAAGTGCTGTAATCAAAACACGTGAGAAATTAAAGTGAACTGAATCAAATTAAGATATATCAATTATGCTCGTAGCAGTGGATTAGATAATTATTTTGTTTGAAAGATTTGTGAATTCTCTCTATTTTATTTAATTTACCATTTATAACGGGTCATGAAGTTGCTATGTCTGTAGTTTTCAAATTACTTGGAGTTAAGTTGGTAATTCGTCAATAAATCATCTAGAACCAAGATTTTTGTAATGAAATTGTTTTATTAAAGGTAAGCACTCACTAAATATCAATTACTCCCCCGTGTTTTATAATAAGTGACATATTTATAAAAATAAAAAAATTAAATTTAAAAACAATTTTTATTTTTGTTTTTCGATAAAATATTTATTCTTTTTTAATTTGCAACAGTAATAATATTGTTTTTAAGATATAATATATTTTCTACTAAATAAAATGAATAATAAAAAGTTTATTAAATTATTATTAACTTTTATTTATTTATTAGTTTTTCTTGAACTATCTAAAAATCTTAAGTAACACTTATCATAGGATGAAAAGAGTGTACAATTTTAAATTTTTTTATTGTACAATAGAATTATATGTCAAATATTTATAATTAATAAGGAATCACTAAAGTCGGTTTAGTAGTGAAAAATCGGAACAGTTTACATGAGATTTTAAATTTGAACCTAGTGCCGTTGTTATAATTTTGATGAATAAAAAATATGGTAATTAATTACAACTATTAACATTGATGTTGTGAAACTCCCTATCCATACAATTATAACATATTTTTATAATTATCAATTGAAATTTTTGAATAATTTGACTAAAGAAAATTCCTTGGATATAAGTTTCACATTATAACCAAACTAAATAATAACAAAATTGTTTTCAAAAGGTAAGAGAAATAAGAGAATGAAATACATTGCCAATTCTACTAACAAAGCAAATCCTAATTTAGCAATCAACTCGATTAAATATTTCTATTTATCGCCTTGATGTCACATTCTATCAAAACATTTTCATAACAAGGTTTATGTCTCATCTCTAACCTCGTTATTTTCATAATAGTTTTTACCTGTAATCAAACACCAAACGAGAAAAAAAAACAGAGAAGTGAAAATCATCACTCTAACTACCAATGCAATTTACGGATGGATAGCCGCACACAAAATAGAATAATAGGTATACAATTACAAATAATAACAATGATATCTACCATGTTCAATAGCACATATTTTAGTATATGTCACATTCATAGTTCATAATCAACCAAAATACAATTATCATGCTATGTCAATGAATAGACAATTAATGACACTCCTAATTTATATACATGTGACACTAATAAAATCAATTAACTATCAATTGTTACCTGAACATTGAGTAGCCTAGGAAAATATGTCAAATCATAGTCATCACAACAGTGTACACTAGGAAGAGATACATCAAGGCATCATGTTAGGATAGCTATGTTGGCTAAATTTCACCCCGTGCACACAACGGGTGGAATTGGGGCTCCTAATCGTGGCTATCCCCAAGGCTATGAACTCTCAAGATTTTACATAAGGGAGACTTTCCTTGACAACGTATTCCACATCATAACTATTCAAAAATCCACTGAAGCATATGATGCATGTCATATAAGACTTATGCAATTTATGTTCATTATACTTCATCAATTGATCAAACTCGTTATATATATATATATATATATATATATATATATATATATATATA